ATAATAATAGAGAAGATAGGGGGGAGTCTTCAAGTCACATGGTCCAAATTGTGCACCTAATCATGAGAAGGAGGGGATACAGGGATGAGGATATCTGATGATGGAGAAACTATATGGGGTTAGAGAATACCTTCTAGGAATGAGAGCTCAGTATATGTCAAAAGGAGGTTATGTATCACCTTGTAGGTGAAGATGAATGGTGTGCATTTTGTAAGATAAGAGGAAGGTTTTTAATGTAAATATTCAAATAAATCATCATCCAGGCAGATATGATATACACGACCAAGTCTCAGACTATTGACAAAGATTGTGTTTTGTAAAATAAATGTTTAGTTGCTTTACAAAGCATGCCCAAGTGTAAAATATTTACAGGAAAAATTACACTAAAATTTCTACCAATAACCTCCCCACCTGCTCAGAATTTGAATGCTATTAGTTTCTGATTTTGTGCCATGCATAAAAAGACATAATGTAATAGAATCCATCTTCTAAATTATTAATATAGCTGGTCTTAATTACAAGATGTATAAAACTGGAAAAATGCTAGAAAAATAATTGTGCTTTCCTTCACATCAACATTTCTACCTCACAACATAGGCATTTTCGGTGCTTATGTTCCTAAGCCGGAGCTGACTATCAGCTGTCAGGAGTGATGCATGCCCAGCTGTTCTTTCCTTTGGGCAGGGAAGTGGATAAATGACCTTTCAAGGTCCCTTTGACAAATGGGATCCCCGACACCTAACTAACCCCAGGTTTTTTTTTTCAGGTGGAGTGGTGAGGTGAGCGGTGGGCATGGGGCTAGGCTGGTGAGCTTAGGGGAGAAGTCCTAGGATCAAATCACTGATAATCATTGCTGGAATACAGTATTTTTTTACTGTTTTACTTCATCCTTTTAGATACAATGCAACTATTTTCTTAAATTCAATCAAAGTGTGTCAACAGAAAGCTATTAAAAAGGTAATATTTATTTACACACACTTGACACAACCAGATCTTGGAATGGAAAATTTACACATGCCCAGTATTACTGGAAAATATCTTTAAAATTAGATTCCTAAACCTATGTCGAGATGCCTATCACTTGAAATGCGAAATTCCTGAACCTTTATAAGCTCACATTGTCACCGATGGCTGCTGTGGACAGAAGGTATTTGTGGCTCTAATTAATTTGGTTTGAAGTTGCTCAGGGATATAGTTCATCCTGTTAATAATGTGACACTGTTATTATGTGAATCAAGTGCAGACTGATGCTTTAGGAGTGGTGACAGGAACTATTAGCTGATCTATCTCTAACATTTCAGTATTTATGTGTGGACCTACCTACTGACATAAGGAGATGCCTTCTTTTCACAGTATTTCAGTGTTACAGAGCAAAATAAAAAAAAAAAAAGAGGATTGTTTGATATATGAAGGTATTTTGCAATGTTTTTCTTACCTTCTGGGCAAAATGTCAGGTAGATGGATATACTGCTTATTTTTAAATAATTTGATTTTGATTATTTTTCTATTTCAGCTTGAATAAGTTGTAGTACGGTGACATTTTCCAAGTGTAATGCTGTTTGTCCATTTCTTAGTGCTAATAATGTCATTTCCATCATTAATAACTCTTACATAAGTAGGTTTTCTCCTGTTGATAAACACTGTGTTGGAGATGTTTAAATAAAATTACCATCAGAAAGAATGACTTCCAAGAAATTAGCCTTCCTGCACATGGTGAGAAACATATTTGCTCACATATTTGTGACAAAACAGAGTTTTTACTACATTTACCCTGGTTAGCCTTGCTCTCCTTGGAGACAGTGACACAGATTTTAGTCTAGTGTAGGCATGATCAGAATTGTTAACGAAGTTCATCCTGCTGGATTAAACATTACCTTTAGTTATACCTCATATATCACTGAATACCACCAGTGGAAGTGGATGACATAAAACGAAGGGAAAATTTCTTCCTTTACCTTACCTGTAATTGCTTTCTTCCTTGAAAAAAGAACATAACTCCATTTTCATATGGCAAGGTAGCTTTGTGGTGCTTGTATTTCAAAGTGGAAAAATTATACTTGATCTCTAAAACAAATTCTGAATTCTGCAGAAAATCTGATCCCTTCAGTCATGGAGACAACAAATATGGAATCTTATTAAGCAATTTTCACAGAGCCACTTTTCAAAAGGAAACTATTTCAAGGTTTTATCTGGTGCTACCCTGCTTGTCTCACTGCTCTTCAGACTAACTGTACACATATTCTCCTTTATAAGCTTTTTTTCCTGGTTGCAGTCTTTTCATAGCTTTGTGCATAGTCTGTTCCACATATGTCTATTAGTGTGGCCAAAGCTCAAGTCAGTCTTCGGGCATTTATGATTTGTACTGACAATCTAATTTTGTAACATTAAAAGTGTCATCCCAATATTGTATGCTCTGGATGAGTGAAGAAAAAGAGATGTCATACCGATCCCTGTTATCAATCATCAGGTGCATTCTACTTCATTAGGAAAAAAGGGAAGGGAAAAGGCTGTGACAAACTAGATGTGTCACTCAAGTCTTATCAGATCACAAGTCAGAAACTACATGATCAGACTAATGCCTGGGTTTCACTAGATGAAGTCCAGACAGGTCAGACATGTGCTGCTGCTTGCAGTTCATGGGTATGCGTTCACTAAGTGACGTCATACAAGGATGGATGGATGTAGAGGCATGTGTGTTTGTCCCAGTTGTTTGTATTCAACAGGTGACAGACCACTTTTGTGTATTTGACTCCCTACTGCAAGGGAAGAGAGCGAGCCAGTGGATTCCTTTATTTTGCAAATACTGGATCTTTCAGAGTACTGATCTGAGTAATATCCCATCCCTGGAAGTGTTTAAGACCAGGTTGGATGAGGCTTTGGGCAACCTGGTCTAGTTGAGGGTGTCCCTGCCTGCAGCAGGGGGGTTGGAACTAGATGATCTTTAAGGACCCTTCCAACCCAAACCATTCTATGATTCTATGAATATGGGCATGATTTCCTACAGCTTTGCACGAGAGATTTGAGGGCATGAAATGCAGCTTGAATCACACGCACAAAAGACTGAACTATTGTAATAGCTTGGGAAACATGAATGTACTTGGGTAAACAAATGCACATTCTGTAACACAAGCCTTGCCACATCAGAGCTTGCCTGTGGACATCCACCTGCCAAAGCCATACTGCTTTTCTAACGTATAAACAGAATATATATGATGTTGCATATGCACAGTTCAAGTAATCTCAGACAGCAGAGGTTGTATTTGTGGCATCATCGGCTATTTATCTTATTTCTGAATCTAATGAAGACTGGGTTTTGATGGCTTTAAGATGGAATAGTTCATAAGACAAAGGTCTGAATTACAATTAAAACGAGTCATACTTTTGTCATTTTTCTTTGATGTGAGCAGGGAAGGTCTTTTCCTTAATAATCTTAACAAATGAGAAGGACAATGCTGCTTATTTAAATTCTGTTTGTTTGAACACAGGAGTAATTTTTTCAAGCAAAAAATAAGTGTATATGTGGACGACAAAGTAAGTAATCACAGAAATTGAAAATTAGTCATATTTTTGTGTGTGTTAAATCAGAAATTCATATTCGGAATAGCATACTTTGGATAGAAACATTTCCCCCTAGGTGACCTCTACACCAAAACTCTGAAATTGTAGGACATATGTAGTAGGAATAAATCCAGGATGTGCATTTTAACAAAGATCAAACAGTTTAGGCTGATACAGATACATTTAAGGAACAAAACTCTCATTATTCTGGAAAATCTAGCTGCAATAATATTTTCTGACAGTAGAGGGCATAAACGCCATTAAAAATAAATGCAAATACAAAAACATTTTTAAATAC